CTTCTGTGTGTGTGTGTGTGTGTGTGAGAGAGAGAGAGAGAGAGAGAGAGAGAGAGAATGAGCAAGAGCAAACAGGAATAATGCTGGACAGGCCTTATAAATTGCCTCCATCCAATTAAAAGCGAGATCATACATTACTGTTCAGCGGCTCAGCCAATCAGGAGACACTGCTGGTGAGTACAGCAGTAAAATATTGAAGGGCTGAGTGAGAAGAGGAAAGATCCTGCATGTTCTCCTCTCCTTCTGCATCAGCTGATCTTCAAGCTCTGTGTCAGTTTAGTGTGTACGACACTGGACATCTGAAGCCTATGTGTTTTCTCTAAAGGCCCCTCAGGAGAGAACATTTTAGCCAACATACTGTTTTTCTGAGGCTTTTGACTTGACACCCCTATAAGTTTCTCTTCGGGACACTCAGCACGTATGGTAAGTGGCCATTTTAAATTATTCTGCTTGCATCAAATATCCAGATTTTTATTTACTTGTCAATATGTCTATTTTGCCATTTTACTTAGTACTCAGAGATCTATTCTTAAGGTATATTAAAAAATCTGCATGGGTGATTTGGTACTGGGACACTGCAGGTTGGACTACTGTGTAAACCCAAAATCCAGCATTAGAACATACAGTATATTCCTTTATTACTATACTGAAGGCAAACACAACAATGATTTTTGTGATTAATTTGATGGATAACTAGGCATAGTACAACTCTGACTATACCGGCAGTCGTTTTGGCAATCTATGTGATGTTAAAGTAATATTAAAGTGCAATATGTAATAAATAAAAAAAGTGTATTATTAAAACAATGACAAATAAAAAGTAATAAAAAAGTGTCAGTAATGTTGATAGTTAAAGTGATAGTTCACCTTCAGTTGCTGGACACTTTTGTGCCAGCTTGTGTGATTTCCGATCAGTAGAGGGCGCCATGTCTTACTATAAATGAAATAAAAATAAACAATGACCAATCAGCAAGTACCACTAGCTCACAATGTTCCTCTCAGAATGATCTGAAACAGCCTTTTAGTCCTTAGCTCTTAAATACCCTGTTTTTTGTTTTTTGTTTTTTTACTTATTCCATGTATATTATCTTTAAGGTCATCTACGTGCAACCTAGGCTCAATGGAAAAGCATACTTCTACCTACATTTTTGCAAAACTCCAAAAAACATACATACACATACAGTCCAATTCACTTCAGTTTTCAGCTAAAATGAACACCAGTGGCAGTAAAATATTTATTCATTTACATACAAATTGTGATTACAGTGGCAGATTATTGATTAACTACACATGGTTCCTTGCACAATACTATGTTATGACCTCAAACCACTTTTATCATAGTGGATGGATTGTTAATTAATACATTTGCATCACATTACCAGCTCCATATCTGTGGATTTCTGACATAGTAAACTTGCTCGGTAGCGCACCTGGTATTGCACTTGTGATGTGAAGTGCATATATGAGTCCCACTGATCATGCTAAAAGAGCTCAAAGACTTGTAGAAGCAAACTAAAATGTCATGATGGCTTCAGCAAATTCATTTTTACCCTGCCTTTGCTTTTGTTAACACTATCGATTAGGTTTAGGCTGGGGTTTAGTGTAGGTCAAGCAATATTTTTAAATGCAATAGAGCATTAAACTATAGTGCCATTCACTGGACATTTCATTTCCAATACATACAATGATCATCATAATAAAACATTGCCAGATTCATGTTCATCTGTTTCAAATTCAATGCGTTTTTAGTTCACTGGACGTTACACTTTGAAACATTCGAGAATCAACATAAACATAAGTACGTAAGTATTTACATAAGTAATATCAGCCTAATATCAGCAGAAATGACACTCCAGGTAAAACATTTTTCCAATTAGCCTGGGTTGTCTATATGCTAGTGTACTCTAAACTAAAATGTTTATGCAAATAAACCATACACTCATGGGCGTGTCCAATGCATTTTGGAATGTGAATGCCCCTCCCTCTTAATTTTAATTACCGTGTAAATCATGGGGGGCGTCACAATACTCTAGCTTATGCTTCCTCATTTCCTCCAGCCTTGAGAAATTTATCTAACTAAAGGCCACTGGATATTTCTTTTTTTTTTCTTTTTTTAAAAAGGACATGTCCTTAGAAATGTCCTGGCCCAACTTCCTATTCCAATAGGAAACACATCAATACCAGAAAGAAAAGTGCACTGTTCGATTTCATGAGGTCCTTAAAGGCCTTAAACAATATGAATGAGGTAATGGGAGTCAACAAGGCTAGCAGTTTGAGCTCATTACAGATTTTAATTAAAACATTCAGGTAAATATCCCACACCCAATCCCTGTGCGATGGGCAATCGATTCATTACAGAACAAGTGCCACCAGTCTTCCTGCTGGGCTTTGTTGACAAGCTGATTAAACTGAGGTGTACTGTGCGAGTTACTACATTAGGGGGAGTGTGTTGTAGTGTGTATGTATTTTTTGTTCAGTGTGTGTGTGTGTGTGTGTGTGTGTGTGTGTGTGTGTGTGTGAGTATAAGAGAGTGGTGTTGTGTAAGCAGTGTAAAGGAGAGGAAAGTGTGAGATTATAATGTAGGACAGAAGAAAGAGGGAGGAGCGTGTGTTGGAGGCAGAGAGAATGGTACAGGAACATAAAGACCAAGGGGCACTGTGGGTGAGTATGAGAGAGAGAGGAGATGATGGAGTGGGTGTGCTGAAAGCTTCCAGCACTGCGGTATGTTGCAGCACCCAGTCCCCATTGACAGTGCAGCATACACACTTCAAACATTACTCCTATTCCTATGTTTATCATGCTCATGTGTTCGGTGTGATATTCATGACGTGTTTAACCACACCCGTGCGGAACATCAGAAATACTATTCCTGTCCTCTGAGAGCAAACTGATGAGGTGTCGCGGCCGCTCTTGGTGCACGGGAGGATGTCCCCTGTCAAAACTGCATGTTCTCGTCTCTGAATGACCGCCTCATTCTTTAATTGTATTGAAGTGATTTAAAATGATTGTGTTTTACATTACGGCACTACACATGTAAATACACTACTGTTCAAAAGTTTGGGATCAGTAAGATTTGTATTACTTTTTAAAGAAGTCTCTTATGCTCACCAAGGGTGCATTTATTTGATCGAAAAATACAGAAAAAAATGTAATATTGTGAAATATTATTACAATTTAAAATAACAGTGTTCTATTTTAACCTCTGTTAAAATATAATTTATTTCTGTGATCAAAGCTGAATTTTCAGCATCATATTATGCTTTATATTTTTCAAATATATTTAGAAAAAATATACACAAAATAGGCATATTATTTAAAAATGTATTTGAAAATACAAATGTTTTGCCACACAATCTGACTAAATATAGATCTTGGAAACAAAAATAAATGTTGCATTAAAACTGTTGACCAAATGCATTACCGTAAACATTTCTACACCAGATTAGATCAGATTATTAGGTGTATTATTAGATGTATTATTATACAGAAAATTAGGTTACAATTTCAATATTGTTTTACAAAGTACT